TTTTTTTATTTAGTTCTAATCTGGAAACAAAAAACAGGAGTAAAAATAATAATCTATTACTTCTAAAACAGCAACAGTCATAATATTCATCAGTGCATATGGTATTTTTACAACTGCAAGCACTGCTGGAAATGTTGCCTCCCACACTCAGGTACGCTCATGTCCACATCACTATCCAGCAACATTTGTCACCAAAAAATGGACACAGCTGGAGAGAGAGACAAAAACAGCTGCTAAACATTTTCCCCCCTTTTTTCCTAGAATTCTATGATTTCTTCCAATATCATGCTCACATTCCCACTGCTAACCCGTTTAGTAATTATATGCTTTGTTCTATTGTCATCATGTAACGTATTATGATAAAGTCAGGCACAGGTTGTTTGCAGAAGTGGTTAACAAATCATTAGAAGGTGCTAAACAAAGTGATGGTAATTTATATGAGAATGCTTTTACAGATATATGCTGATTAATGAATGCTCTCTCGAACATTAATTGATTATCTGCCATTACTACCTCCTGCCATGCAGATGAAAAACAAAACACTTCCTGTGTGAGGTGCTGGGGCATGCCCAGATGTTCTATCTACGGATAGGAACATGGCTGGAATTTAACAAAGGACATATGACTCAAGTACAGATTTACTATCCCTGCAGTACACTGTGTAAATAACTGTCTTTTTTGTACCTGTTTTTCATTTACAGCAAAGAAGCAAATCTGACTGGGAGAAAGCTGTGTACAGTGGTTGTGTGACTGGAGGAGCTATTGGCTTTCGCGGTATGTAACTTACTTTATTAAATAATAGTTTGCATTACAGCAAATTTATGCATTTTGTCCACGTGTTTATTTTTCTGTTTTGCAGCTGGTCTGAAGGCTGGTGTTCTGGGATGTGGAGGCTTTGCTGCATTCTCTGCTGCAATTAAATATTACTTGCGGCGAAGCTCTATGGAGTTGCTCGATGGACAAAAACATAAATATTACACATGTGGGCCAGAGAAAGAAGACTCGCGCTGTGAGCTTGCTAACCCTGATGTTTCCCTGCACTTCAAGGATTGCTGTAAAAGCAGAATTGAAGTGTACTGTTCAAACACAGGTATTTTAAGTGGCACCACAGTGGGTTAAAAAAAACCCCAAACAAACAAAAAGAAGACATGTCTCTGTTTTTCCTGTGACTTTTGTCGTGGAAAATTTAACAATAACCTGCAACACACCCACTGAGCTTGCTTTGAAGTGGGTTTAATAAACACATTGCAATGTGGAGAGAGCATCCCAGTGAAACACCAGGACCATCTCTGAATTGTGGCCACCGCCCTTACATACAGAGACACAGACAAAGAACATTCCACAAACTCACATGTTGGCCCCTCTCACAGGGGGCTATACCTTCTCCCTCACAGAGAGAATTATGACCTTGTTTTCTGCTCGGCCGTCACCTAGAGATTTACATCCCTGATAAGCAGAAGGAGTCCCACTATCTGTTTAACGTCTCCCATTACAATGGCCTCACTGTGTTAACTTTCCACATGCATGTAAACTAGTGACAGGAGTGCTCTTACTATAGTAAAGTGAGAAAGCGATATTACTATAACTAATGTAATATGATTAAATATGTGATTAATATATGAGAAAAGAAATCTGCCACCACACTTTCATATTGTGGACAGTTGGAGAAAGAAATGCCAATTTCTCATGGCGAATCTTCAAAGACAGAGCAGAGTGGGTCTGCTTCAGTGGCGTACTATCAGGTGACGAAAGCTGAACTTGTGTGAACTTTACTCTGGGTCTGTAAAAACTCAGAT